CTCTCTCACTATATACCACAAAAAAAAATCCGCGAAATTTTTCTATTAAGTTGCCTGCTCGTGAGAGGCGAGGTTTCCTCAGCGTCATTTGTGTCGCGACTGCAGAGACATATAGACGTGTTTTCTTTGCCTTCTTGGACACGTGTTTAGTGTCTAGTTATTTATTGATTGCCACATCATCGCTGCTACACACCGTTACCAGAGTCCCTTGGGTCAATTTCTACGTCATCGCCACAACGTACGAGATCGACGGGAAGAAGTTGGCGCCATTTATCAAGAGGTATATAAAAATAGCCGTCATTTCCGGTACGATATTACCAAAGGAAAGGGTGCTTCTGACTCGTTCAAGCTGTGTCGTCCACGTAGTTGAAGGGTGCCGAGACAAAGAGCAAGTAGAAGAAGCGAGTAGAGAAACCGGAATCGGTGGCGGCGGCGCTGTTAGAGAGAACCTAACCTAACCTGTAGAGAAAAAGGCGGCAGTCTAGCTAGAAGAAAGCAGCCACGCTGAAAAAAAAAATGGTCGCTACTAGGAAGAAATCGTCCGCTGCCGCGGCAAAGAAAGCCACCGCCCCGAAGAAAGTCAAAACTGTCGCTGCGAGGAAAGTCAAAACTGGCGCCGCGAAGAAAGCAGCAACGAAGCAGAAAGCGTCGCAGTTAAAAAATCTGTCGAAAACGAAGAAGACTACGAAGGCGCCAGCGGCAAAAACAAAGACACCAAAGCCAAAGACAGCCAAATCACCGAAGGTTACAAAAACCACAGCGAAGAAATAATCGTTTCAAGAAAAAATACCACACTGGCCCTTTTCAGGGCCACAAACTTTCTAAACTGGTTCTTTATTCTTTGAGACGAGGTTAGCTGCAAATTTAGGATGAGCTATATATAGTGTATACTGGTTTTGCCAACATCACTCACTGTTGGTCATGAACCTATACACTTAGATAACAATTTGCAACGCAATGTAACATGATCTGCAACTTCTTTTATTATTGCCTGAACGCAATCTGTGCAACTTCGGTGCCAGTTATTCGCGTCTGAAATTTTTGTAGGTTAGGTTCGTTTTCAAGTCGTTCTAGAATTTACTACGATCGTTTTATTTTCCGATCTGAAATATTATTTCACTTCTTACGCAGCAATATTGTCTCCCTCGAGTTGAAAGAATTTTTGTTCAATTAGTTAATATTTATACATTGTAAAGGCCTAATAGGTAGATTTATATGGTTTCGAGGTAGCTTATAAATTGACATATGGTTTATATGTTGAATATTTAACGTTGGAGTCTGATATGAATATTCGTTTCTACGTAGCGTTTTAGAAACAAGCATGTAGGTTCAAGGATAAAGTTCTCGTGTGACTCATCTCATCGTAAAATGCGTAGCTATACTGCCATTAGTGTTTCTATGGGGAAAATACTGTTCGTTTGGTAGGGCCCACTTGAGAAGGCGTCATTCGAAACATGTTATTTTAAATATGCGAGTGATTTTCATTAGCTTCTTTTTCATCGAACCTTTTTTTCCTGCGTGTTTTTCCTTGAAAATTTTGCGATCGAAGTCTAACAACAAAACAGAAGGACGGTTCGTATAGCATTAAGTAAAACGTTCGTCCGAGGACGTTTTTCTTTGAGATAATTATGTTAGAGATCGTATTGAATATGATATCGTGATACGTGATACTGCACGTAAACACAAATTGAAATCAATTCTTTAAGAAGACTATATCATTTTATAAATGTATGAGCGAAAGATGAGCTAACAAATGAAGTAACGAGAAAAGAATAGGTGTAAAAAATCGTAGACTTTTCAAGTATTTCTGAACTATTGTAGAATCACAATATATTTGCTGTTCCATTTCAATTAGTATTTGTCATGAAGCATTACATTTCAATTAATATTTCTCACAAATTTGCATGTGTTACATATGTATATGTTAAGACATTTTCCACACTACGCAATCTAAAAATACAAGGTTTTTTTTCTGATGATGCAATGGTTGGAGGAGTTCTGTACTTAAGGGCGACGCGACCTGCTTTACTGGTAATGCAGAAATGTTCGTAGTGGAATTACCGACTGGAAGCAAAAGTTTACAGAGTGGAGTCACGGACGACGTACAGAATAGACCTTGCACCTAATGTATTTTCGTGTCTAACGTTTTGAAATAATGATCGTGTAAAGAATCAGAGTTTTTGTTTTGCCCTGTACGATATAAAGCGATGAATTTAAGAATTACATACAATCCAACCATTAAAGATGGTAAAGTCGACAGACGTAAAAAATCATACTGTAAGATAAATGTATACAATGTATTTTATAAAAGGTTACAATATACCAGTATTGTTTTACAGCATTTTATAGTCTATTTATTTTTCCCTTACAGACCACGCCCATTTCCTTTTGCATAAGTGATGATAAATGAATGAAAAATTGATTATAAATATTAATTTTAAAATATCTGCAGCATGCAATTGTTTATTCAATATGAAATTAACAAATTAAGCTATTTTATTAAGTTAAAGCATGCAAGAATTTTGTTTAAGAGTTCCATATAATTATAAACTATCATCTGAATTGTTATTTTTAACAAGGAACACTAATTATTCTCTAATTAAAATACTTTAAAATATGCCATAAACTGTATTTTGCTACCTACATTATTGGTAATGTTAAAGTAACTTCAATTTGTTATAAGTGTCAATTACATATAATAAAAATAACGAAGATTGTAATAGTAAAGAGAGATAAGGAAACGAATACAGGTATATAGATAAGGATAGCACTAGAGTTAGCCAAGGAAAGGAATAGGGATAGACAAAGACAGAAGAAAATGGCGGACGAGAGTAACGCCATCTCGCGTTTGGTGACGTGAACTACAATTTTCTAATAAGATTACAGGATATAAACAGAGGTATTAGACAAGGAACGCACTAGTGTGCAAGAAGGACAGAGAGAAATCGATTCCTATTGGCTGACGGACACCATTGCTCCACCTCCCACGAGCTACATCAAGTCGGCCAGGGAAAAATCATGAATAACTCAATAATTACGATGATTTTGTAAACCTTTAGAATTGAAGAATGAAGTGTGGACCTTTAGCAACTTTCACATATAGATTTTAACGCAATAGACCCTTTCAATGATTAGTTATTAGCAATTTTAGTACGGGATGTCGGCAAATTTAGTACGTGATACCGCACATCCGTCTTGTTTTTCATTAATTTTGTAACTTTGCACAGATAATTTATACACTTTTATATATGCGTTCGAAAAGCTATTCCTTTAGCTACTTTCTCATATAAATTTTAATATCCTAGACCCTTTTAATAATTAGTTATTAACAATTTTAGTACGCGATGTCGGAACGATACCGTATACCTTTACGGTTATTCAATAATTTCATAGCTTTCTGATAAATTCTCGTGCAAACAACTATATGCGTCTGAAAGGCAAGTCCCTTAGCTACATCCTCATATAATTTTTATTAACATATTCGGTCTAGTTTCAGAGTTATTAAATATTATATGAGACAGTCCACTATTCGTCGTACTCGGGTACAGTCAAATGTTACAAACAATTGGTAATATCTAATAAACCACCTCACTTACGGTTACCAAAATGATTGAAGAATGTAAATAAAAGTCCATTCTATATTCTCCATGCTTAAAAGTGCATAATTAGTCAGGCATTTCTATTGAATTAATGAAAATGTGTAAGGATTGAATGCGACGAGTGTAATACTCTTCCAAAATTATATGAGAATATAACCAAAGGAGTTACTTTTCAAACACATATAGTTAGTTGTATGAGAATTTAGTAGAAACTCATGAAATTATTGAAAAACCGTAAAGTTGTTTGGCGGTATGCGATATCGTTACCGACATCACGCACTAAAATTGTTAATAACTAATTATCGAAAGGGTTTAGAGCATTAAAACCTATATGAGAAAATTGCTCAAGGTCCGCACTTCCTTCTTCAATTCTAAAAGTTCACAAAATCATCGTAATTATTGAGTTATTAATGATTTTTCTCTGGCTGACTTGATGTAGCTCGTGGGAGGTGGAGCAATAGTGCCCGCTAGCCAATAGGAAGCGTTTTATCTCTATCCTTCTCGCACACTAGTGCGTTCCTTGTCTAATACCTCTGTTTATATCCTGTAATCCTGGTAAAAAATCGTAGTTCACGTCATCAAACACGAGATGGCGTTACTCTCGTCCGCCATTTTCTTCTGTCCTTGTCTATCCGTATTCCTCTCCTTGTCTTACTCATTACTCTAGTACTATCCTTCTCTATCCCTATTTCTTTCCTTGTCTAACTCGTTTCTCTAGTGCTATCCTCATTTACCCGTATTGCTTTCCTTGTCTAACTCATTTCTGTATTGCTAAACACCTCGACGATCTTATCTTTCGTAGTAAGCGCGACTAAATTATATTGTATTGCGTGGGTAGAACTGCTCATGATCTTTTGACAACAGCAAAACAAGGGCATATGATGAATTGTCTACTAATAAACAATTACGTTACTTTTTTATTGGTAATTTCATAGTTGCGTTTAACCCTAATTCCAACTACTACTAATGTCGTAATCTTCTTCTATGTAGAATCGGTAACGTAGGTAGCGACATGAAAATGGTAAGGGTCTTCTCGGTCTCGAAGCCCCGGACAAAAAAATCCCATAAAATGCTAGATCTATCCTGTACGTAGTCTGTAGTTGGATACAAAATCACATTAGGTGTTAGGCCTATTCTGTATCTCGCCCATAGTGGAGTGACGGCTTGACGGTAAAACCTTGACGGTATCAAAGCTTCGGTCATTCTACGAAGCGTGGCGCTACTATATCGAAGGTAGCGACAAAAAATTAAGAAAAAAAAATGCATGAAGGCAAGCTTTGTGTAAGAGCATTGAACTTTATTTAATGATGCACGTACGAAGACGTAGCGTGTATTTAGAATACAAACAGCATCGTTAAATCAATCATTGTTCAATCTAAATTTTCCCTGATTTCGTTAAAAACGTTTTAAACAGGCTTTTTCTCCCATCTCTATCGCTGATATACACACACTCGAAGTATATTTAGTCTCATTTTTTTTCCCGTGTTCGCGATCTCGTCATACTTTTCGCCGTTGACTGTACGAATATTTCTAAACGTCGACGAATGTTTGCTAGACCGTTTGCGTTACAGTCGTGTGTTTTCCTTTTCACAGCGAGCGATGTCGTGGCTAGAAGCCGTTGTCAGTGCCATCGAGAATCAGTTTGGGTGTCGCGAGAATCGCGAGTAGTAGAGGGGTCGTGGTAATCGGCGTCCATATGATGCCGACGAAGCGTTACCAGGTGACTCAACCGACTCGTGTATGTCGGTTTCAAAGCGCCGAAAGAAAGGGAAAGTACCCGAGACATCGAAGCATGGGAGTCAGGCGTGCTCTCAGTCCACGGAAAGCGACTGAACGCACGCGAGAAACGATCCTCTGCGTCGATCCGTCGTGCACCTCGCGGAAATTCGCGAACGTGTCGTCGTCGTCGTCGTCGTAGTAGTAGAGCGCGTCATACACACGGTGCATGACAGAAAGAAAAAAAAACACACACACATTGGTTGAACGTTAACCGTTGGATCCTCGTGGTTTGCTGACCGGTGACGTCTTTTTATTTTCTTTTCTCTGTGAGATGTGGATCGTGCCCTATCCAGGAAAGGTAGGGAATGATCGATCGGTCGTTTTACCTCTATCGATATATTCCTTCTCGCGTGGTAAACATCTTGTTTTTTTGTTCGAAACATCTTTGTTTTCAAACTTGGAGAATTTCGTTTAGATGTTCGGATGGTATTTGAGAGGTTATTAGAAATTCGTCGATCGTCACCGTGAGGTTTAACCGAAGTTTTCAAAGTCTCGAACTTCTCCCACTGGGTGATTTCATTGTTCGGATCGTTCGAATGTTTGTCAACGATCGTCGAGAGAGAAAGAATTCGGTGGAGCACGCTTTATTTGCGCAGCTGCGAACGAAACAAAGCCGGTGGTTGGTCAGCAGAAGGCGACACGAGGTGCGTTCATGGCAGGAGGTAAAACGGGCAACCGCGTTTCAATCGAGTGTGTACGTGAAACCATTGAACTTTTTTCTCTTTTTTTTTTTTACGGGCACAAGGACACCGCGATATCGGAGAAGGGATCGAAAATCTGGTAGTCCTTCGTCGGACAGTGTACACACACCGTTCTTTTCCCTCTAACACAGAACAAGCCTCGATTAAAAATAATATTTTCCGTTCTTCGACAGTTCACACGTGAATACGTATGTCGAATACGTAATGAAAAATTCCAATTAAACTTAGATGACGCTGCGATATTAACGTGACGCAAAAGAGGAGGACCTTGAACATTCGCGCCTGGCCTTCGATGTCTCCGAATGAGAACCTCTAAACGATTCGTTCACTCGAACGATACGAATTTATCCGAGAATACGTAGAAAAATACTCAAATTTTTCACACTGTATTAAATCTTGCAATAATAAACACATAGTAATGGCGGGGGAATTGTCTTTAAAAACGTTAACAAAATATCGAATCTAATAAAAACAATAGCATTAGAGAGATATCGTTTGTATTTGTAAAACGAGTTAAAAAAAAGTGTGAAATATTTTTTAACACATATAAATACACGAATCGAAACATTTTTTAATACATATAAATACACGAATATCGAAATGTTTCGATATAGACAGAAATATACAGTGTATCTGAATAATTTCGATCATCACTGACACAATTTTATTCGGATACAAAAAACGAGGTTGGAGATGAACGTCGAATGAAGTTCGTGTGTTGCAACGGGGTTAATCGTGGCTTCATTAACGGCGGCCATACTCCGTAACCGCGTAACCAGCGATCTACGTCGGATAATAGTATTATACCATCATTACGCAATCGTGAAAATTTCACTTTCCGAGGTAGGACGGTGTGTGTGTGCGCGCGCGCGCGCGCGTCTCAAGATAGCGGACTGTTTCGCGGCGCGTTCGAGCTCGAGCGCGCGTTACCTTTAGATATTGGCGCGGATTTTTATCGAATGCCCGTACTCACGTCGCCTATCTCCTTTCGTTGCTTTTTTTCTTCCCTCTTTTTTTTTTTCACCTGGCGAGCTTGTTCAACCGGTCTTTCTGTCACAACGCGCGCGCTCGTGTATAGTTAGCCGTACAAGGACGAACGTGGCGACGCGCCTGTTCCTTCGACACTGTACGAAATTTTCGAAATTTTTCACCAACCTTCTCGCTGCGGTTTCTTAAACTTTTCTCGTTAGTTAAGTATCTTGAAATTTTGTTTCTAATTAAATTTAAATAGTTTAATTTTTGTCTTCGATTAAATCTGAATAGTTTAATTTTTGTGTCGAATTAAATTTAAATAGTTTAATTTTTGTCTTCGATTAAATTTGAATAGTTTAATTCTTCTCTCTAATTAAACTGAAATAGTTAAATTTTTCTCTGTAATTTCGTATCTCCGATAAAAAATGAAGCTTGCAGAAGGATTTTCGGCAAATTTAAAGAAAAGTCTCAATTTGCTAGAAAAATTCAAAAGTTTGCGCAGGAATTCTGTCTTTCTTTTTAAGTTACAAATGACATCAAATATTCTAAAACATTTATACGCTATAAGGAAGTAAAACGAAGGCTTCCCGAGGATGAAATTTCTAAGAATCGGAATCTTCTCTCATACATGGCGAAATCGCTAAATAAAAATGAAGCTTGCCTAAGGCTTTTCCACAAATTCCAAAAAAAAGTCCTAAAAGTTCGCGCAGGAATTCTGTCTTTCTTTTTAAGTTAAAAATGGCATAAAAAATTTTAAAATATTAATACGCAACAAGGAAGTAAAACGAAGGCTTCTAGAAATTTCTGAGGATCCGAATTATATGCACGCTACCGCTCTCTAAGATCGTTCCAGCAACGTCTTGTACGAAGTCTCGAGACGGTAGACAGAATGGCTGGCTATTACACAATGATTACAAACGTACCCGGACTACAGTTGCGTAATTGTCAGCGGGTAAAGTAGCTGAATCGCGTGGCCACACACAGGCTCGTATGCAGTCCGCGAATCCTATTATTTCATTTCTCCGCGTCGCGTCGCAATGGAGAGCAGCGCGAAAAAGAACCGGCCGGATCGATCCGTAACGTTTTATCGTTCGCGGTTTGCTGCGCAGCCATTATTCCGCATATCGTACGGAAGACTGGCTTCACCTTTCTCGTTGAACTCGTCGTTGTTGTGTGTGATGCAACCCGCGATACAAGTGTATCCTTGAAACGCGGCAAAATCAAAGAAACACGCGGTAGATGTGCCGGAAAACTAACGTTAACGTTTTTTTTCTTCATTTCGAAGTTGTAATTTTTGGAGAAATTCCGGGGAATATCTTAACTTCGATTATATTTCGAGTAATTGAATTTTTCATGGAACGATCTAACGATAGATCTTTGATTTACGATTCTTAATCTAACGATACGAGAATGATCAATTTACAATTAAAAGACTTATGTACCTGTCTGACGAGGATTCCGTCGAAGGGTTTCCTTCGATATTTCCATCGGTCAATTCCTTCGAGTCATCGAAGACATCTCCTATCTCAGCTTCATCCTGACGTTTATCCACTTTGTTGCACATTCACGTTCGCTGGTTAACGACGAATGCACATGTTGATAATTTAGTCACAATCAGACACACTTGTCACTACACTGTGATAATCACTGTCACAGTTGTTAATCTGTTACGTAATCTGGAGATCGGCGACTCTTAGAAGTCGCCGCGTCTCCTCAATAGAGGACTCGACGCTACATGTAAAATATTAAGTTTCACTTGTTATCGCTTATAATTGACAATTCATCATCGTATGATATCTGAAGGGAAAAATTCCTATGTCAAGTCTGACTTATACTTATCTTTGTATAAGATGAATATGTTCCGCGGACCACCCGTTCTTTCGTTATTTAATTTGGTGTGAGAGAATTACAATAACGTAAGGAAGGCGAGATTTAGACGATGAAGTGGTCGTTGTCACCTACGTAGAGTCACCGGAAAAGAAAGCGCGCGGATACTCGAGGGTGTCGTAAATTAAGCCTTTTCCCAGGACAGTTTGGACCAGGAGGCTGGAACGGTTTTTCGGTGCGACGCAGGCATAGGACGTGGAAAAGGGCAGTAACCGGGGAAATTACGAAATAAAGATACATATCCTTAATAGCTAACGTTGTGCTTGTTTTCTTAATTTTGCGCCTTACGATAATAACTTACTGTTAGTTGCGCCTTGTACACTCAATCGACAGAGTTCACACTAACAAAAAAGTATTTCGTCCGCAGCGACTGCAATAGCTAGGCGCGCGCCGTCCATACGGAGAGCTTCCTCAGGGAGTTACCAATATCTTCCTGCGACTCGCAACGTGTTAGAAGCTTGAATAAACCTCTTGTTAAGATTTCAACTGGTTGCGGTCTTACCTTCCAAACTCACTGTCCACCCTTTACCTGCAGAAACGGGGGAGAACCAAAAATTATACACACACGAATAAAATTTGTACGTGTTTTAGACAATAATCGACAGAGCTCGCGCTACCAAAAAATAATTCCCACCAATAAGGCTAGCATGCCTACGGAAAATACGACCGCAAAGAGTTAAAAGTGTCGCAGACATTCTATTACCCAAAATCCAGTAGAATCCAGTAGAAACGCTTAACCCTTTCGTTACTACAGGCGCCTGTAGTCCCTTTGAAAATTTCCTCGTACACTATACCGTTCGAGCCGTTTGGTGCACCTCCACCTTAATTTAACGCTTAATTTCATCCTTCACGCACCTCTACCTCAATTTAACAAACCGAATTTTAAAACGACACGACCGAAATAAGAAATCTTGCAGCCGTGGTTAGAAATTTACCCTCGGTCAGCCACGTTACGCGTTAAAATCTGCCGCAGCGAAAGGGTTAGAAAGAAAAGAACGTACTTTCTGCAAGACTCAATTCGAATTCTGTAATTTACAGTCTCTTCTTTGTGTTTCTTCTTTCAGGAGTCCTTCGGTTAATTAAAAACATCGAAGAAGTAATCGTCGGACACACGATCTCGAACTCGTACAGCCTTCATGGAATCGAATCGTTCGAACGAGCCACGGACGCTCCGGAATCTCTGCGTATCTGATCCCTTTCGTTAACCGAGGACTCACGATGCTGGATCCAGTGTTTGGAATATCGACAGTGTGGTGGTTAGTGGTGTACGCCAATATTCTGCTGCTCTTTTCACCCCTGGTGCTGCTCTTCATCGTCTTCCTGCCGAATTTCCCGATACTGTTGCTCAGGAGGATGTGCTACATCCCTATAGAGTCCATATGACACGCCGAGACGTCGACGATTCCAAGTTTTCCAGCAGTATGATTCCGTCGTTACAATCTAACGTCGAACGATAACAGATTTTACCGAAAGAATTATAGGTTGAATTTGCTAGTTTAAAAAACAGAAACCGGTAGAAGGAGCGATCGTTGAAATTGTAAATTAAGAGGTAATTATAAATAGAATTTTACGACTGTGTACGCTTCGTTGTTCGAGTAGTTGAGAATTTCAGTTTGCTCGGTGCGAGATTGCGAATTGAGAATGGTTATAAAGGCCTGTATTATTCCGAGGGAAATGTAGCGTGCAGGATAATACAGCGATGGGTTGAATGGGATCAGACGTGGCAATTTCGACGCTGACAAATTGCTTAGAATATTATTACCAGCCTTTATCACACGTTTTCTCTAAACGCGATCGAAAAGTATTCGCAATAATCGACACCTACCTGCTGCTACTTTATCTGTAACGTTAAAATAATTCGAATTAACACGGTTCGGGTGTTTCAATTTCTCGATAGAATTCTAGATACTCGTACCAGACATATTTTCTCGTTTTCACGTTGTAAACAAAAATGACGATGTACACCGGGGAAATCAGCGAGGTCGCGCGAAATGCAATTATAACGCGATTATAAGAACCTTTCTATTCCCATTTTTTTTTTTTACGTATTCGTGAATTAAATCGCCAGAATTCCAGGTGTATATCGCGATTTCTGCACACGAATTCGACCCTTCGCCTAGTTCTCCGATCTGTCGCGATACTTTCCGCGACCGTTGCCAAGATTTCACGCATTCGTAAACGACGGATAAAACCGATATAACGGGAACGGTGTTTCGCAAAAGAGTAGACTCTGGCGGACAAGTTGAAAATTTCGAGAGATCGTCAGGTTTTCAACGGGTCGAAACATCACCAGACTTCGTTCAATTCTTGGCGACAGCCAGCTGGCTCTTTATTGTTCGTGTCGTGCGCACCGTTTAGAATTTTTGTATACAACGTAAACACACATCTGGTCCGACAAGGAGAGAACTATATTTAAACGTCTCCAGACGACGCGCAAAAGTTGTCCTGCGAATTTCCTTCAGCGTTAATTATCACGCTTGATTTTTCTTCCGTGAATTATGTAAAACGAGAACGTGCGTCATTGAACGTTCGCTGTTGATCTTGTTAAATAGTCACCTACCTGGCATTTTCTCCAATTGGTTTCTCAGTCGTCATAAATGGTACTTGTACGAGGAAATTGGCGTAAGAGATTGGACGATTAACGCCGTGTCACTTGGACGTTGATTCGAGCTTTCGTGATACACGACCGTGTCGCAGATCGATATCTGGTCTCGGATCTGGTCTTCGAACAATAAAATCGAAACGATCGAGGTCATTTCTCCTGTTTCTCTCTCTCTCTCTCTCTCTCTCTTTTTCTGTCCTTTTGAAACGTCTTAATTTAAGCGCGATTTATAGTCGGCACCGTGACCGTACGAAATGCCAAGCACTATTTTCTAACCGTCGTGTTTGTCGAAAGAAAAATACGCTGCAGTTGTATGATGGAAAAGATGCTTGTATATAACTTAATACACAGTACCTGCCCGAACGCTGTTAATCAATCTGTTCGTAAATGTTCGGCCTGGAAGTTTTAGTCTGTTATTCACGCGACGTGTTTCGTCCCTTTAATTGCACCGTTCGTAATTACTCCTTTGTCGCCTGTCGCTCGTAAGAAGCTGTAATCGTTTCCGTGGTTCACTGCCGGTATATTACCGGTATAGTTTTTGCTACCAGCGTTGTCTTTAATACACTTTATTATTCTACTTTGTGTAAATTGTTTGGAAAAAAATATATCGAGCGTTCATCTTTTGTAAATTGAACTGAAAGGTTGTCGCAATAAAGTTTGAGAATTTACGCGACGTACGATTGACATGTAATTATTTGCTCCAGTAGTATGTACCTACTTTACGAGCATTCCTTTCTCGAAGGACCAAGGATATTGGAGGTAAGGTTGCTGTCGCTTCAGCACTTAAAACAGTTGATAAATGAATTTTCAAACTTTCAAATTGTCCAACTTACAAATTTACAAACTTCCAAACTTTCAAATTTTTAAACTTCCAAACTGTCAAGCTTTCAAATTTTCAAACTTTCAAGCTTTCAAATTTACAAACTTTCAAATTTTTAAATATTCAAGCTTTCAAACTTTCAAATTTTCAAGCTTTCAAGCTCTCGAATTTTCAAACTTTCAAATTTTTAAAGTTTCAAGCTCTCGAATTTTCAAACTTTCAAACATTCAAATCTTAAAGATTTCGAATTTTTAAATTTTAAAACTAAAACTTCCAAATTTTCAAAATTTTAAGCTTTATTTTCTGTTCACTACAGCACGTTGAATAGCCCAGAAAGGGTACCAAATACCTTTCGAACGTCTTCGAACGCATCATCGTGAACGCACGAAGGACATCACGGTGCGTTTATCAATTTAGGACGGTGCATCCGCGATCAGGTATACGGTAAAATCGCCGTCCTTCTGCAGTTCACCGGCTGATAGAGGCGGGCCTGATGTTGAACATTACAGTACCGATCACGGAGTACTTTCGCCAAGTAACTTACGTAGTGGGGGAGGTAGGACTTGAACCCTGAGACCCCATGGGCCATATATACTACGGTTCCATGCAGCTCTCTTGCTACTTGGTGTCAGCTTCTCGACGATCCCTGCTGTTCTATAGGGAAGGTACATTTGAGAGGGAGAACGATCAAGTAAAAGGTAAGCGTCGTTGATTTAACTCGTCATCGATAACAATCATCGACCGTCATCTTCTAACATATTCCATTCAAATTTCAACGGTTCGTTAAACCCGATAAATCAAAGCCGAAACATTACACTCACATAGTTGTAAGATGAATAATAGAAGAATGCAAGAAGATACATAAGAAGAGTCACGAAAGATAATACAAAGGAATCGTTGCAGTAAGCCACCATTTTCTCTCTCTGATCTCTTTTAACAATCTTCTTTGTACATTATTCAAATTTCAAATTGATCTATTAGAAATGATTAATACCGTTCTCATTCTTACTATCGATTATTCGATCGACCAGCTGAGCTTCACGGAACGCAAGAATTTCGCTAGGTGCGACAACTCGATCGCACCGTATAACACACCTACGAAGAAAATAAACGTTCTTTTATTCTATGCACGTGTAGTTCGCCTCTTTTGTATGCGCTCCTTCTCTCATCGAGCACACGCGAGATCTTTATCCACACGGGTGGCAGCTACCTTTCCAGAAACAATGCCCAGCTGGTTGACACGTGGCCAGAACGTGCGTGTCTCTTTCCTCAAACCCGAGGACAGATCATGAAAAATTCCTTGTCCTTCCCTATTACCACATCTTTTCTCTCGAGAAACTTTCTCCCTATAATTTCCCATTCTTAACCTATCTAGCACAAAAATCAGAATATCACACTCGTAAACCAAGGTGAATTTATTCACCCAAGTATCATATCCACATCCGTTAGATAGAATTAATAGCGACATTGTACAGCAATGTGACGTTTCTGCATAGCTTTGTTGTTGCATCAACGGTTACCAGTTGCAACTGTCTACGTGCACCGTGCTAGTGTTAGATTTATCTGTACCCTCTAGCCGGACAGCGATCTCTGAACTACATACTAGATATCGTTATTAGCTCGATGATACGACACTTCGTATATTGACACGTTACACTGTCACAATTACCACCTGTTATTACCAACTCTGCATTGAACAATTTTCAGATGAATCTCCTCGTCGTGTTCACGCTGGTTACATTGGTAAGTGGTGATCCAGGACTCCTCAGGGTGCCTAAAGTTTACAACGCTGTCATCACGAGTAATCAAAATTTATCTCCATCGAGAGCTTACCCGGTGATACAACCGGTGATACATCGAACAGCGGTCGGTTACGTACCGCCCTTTTATTACACCCAAGTGGCGCCTAATCTTCCTGGACCGGAAGTGGCGCATCTTCCGCCAGGAGCGTCGAAACTCAACGATCAATCTGACGTCCAAGTCCCAGAACCCACTACTACGGTGGAAGAATCGAAGCCAACAGACGCGAAGGACAAAGTGGAACCGACGAATCAAGATCCAGAGGAGGACAAAGATGCCTCGAAGCAAGAGGCCAAGGAACAAGAACCGCTCAGCTTCTACCCTAACTACCAATCGCTCTACTACGATCCGTATTTCTATACTTACAACGGATATAATCCTCACCTGGTCCCAGGGACGTACTACGTCGATTATCAACCTTACGGTACTTACGAGCCGATTCCAGCATCCACGCCGAAGAACGCCGCGTCTGGACACTTGCTTCCAGCTTATCACGAGGAGAAGAAAGAGGGTGGCAAAGTGCAGAAAGAAAAAATACCAGATGTACCACCGCCACCTCTACCAACGGCTTTGTCGAAAAGTTCTTGAACAGCTTTCTCTAGAATTACTCGAATTTTTCAGTTATTTACGTTCGACGAGCAGACTGATTATCCGACAATGGTATGGAAGAAAATACGTCTTCTATAGGGTCTGACGAGAGTGACTTGAATCGCCTGGCGATAGCACTCTCGAAGTGAAAATGCGTTTACTGTGCATACAAGGCGTTTACCGACGACAGGAATAACGAGAGATCGAAAATCGGCGATAATTATTTTATTAGTTCTTATTGATAGATCGTCTCTCTGAAATTTGTTTAATCGTCTATACGAAACAGGTGAAATAAATTGATTTCTCATATTAACAGGCAGGGGATAATAACGTAATAATACCGTGATATATGAATTCCGGTGAAATAGCAAGGATTATTATACTAAACGAAATTCACTGGGTTTACCGTACGATAAATGTGCTATGGATGAATATACTGGAGCACGTAGCGGGGCTTGTACAATGATTGAACACCGGTTCAGTCGTAGATGCATTGGTTGCTTATCTTGTCCACGACCCACAGCTTTATTACGCACCACAAATGCTTGTTTCCAATTTCTTCGAATCTGGCAATCACCTGGTTGTCCATTTTTTCGTCCTTGTGGATCGTTATGTTGCCAACGTTCTTTGTCATTGGTATCAGTCTGGCACATGTGACGCAGAACGGTCCGTCTATCGACACCGTTAAATTCGCGTCCATTTGCTTCGACTCGTCCGCGTTTAACAACAGATTGTGCTGGTACAACATCCTACCTTTACAGGTGCCCCATGTCAGCACGCCCGACCGGCCACTCTCCTGAACATATTTCAATTGTCATCTAAATTATTTCGATTGAAAATAATCGTGGTGAAAATAACGTTGCAGTTCGTATTATCAAGAATATATTATAGATTCGAACGAGTGCTCTTGTTTCTTGTTATCGCTTCAATGAACGTGTTAGTGGAAGATTTAATCGTTCATTCGCTATTTATATAGAACGATAAGTATAGTTTGTACATTGCGAAGTATTTGTAAAAGAATATATGAAATTGTGTTGAAAACGAATTTGTTTTTTTTTTTCCTTACTTACTAGTTCATCTTTCTGGTCGTACTGGTTGCCAGTGCCGGTTAAAATTGTATGGGGATGTAGCTTACTCTTCTTGATAGTGTAATAATCGTAGCCAATCGAAATATTTTCCACGACGTTAGACTTCGATGATCCCGGCACAGATTTACTCGTTCGATTAGCGCGACTGTCAACGCTAGATTCTGTCGTCGCTTCTTTAGTTTTCGTTATAGAAGAACTGATACCGTCTGAAGTTGCATACGAAACTCGATTAAGCTTTGTGTCCTCGAGAGAGTAATACTCGTAGTCAATCGTCGCAACGTTCAAATTGTTATTCTTCGTTAAATTCTCTACAGGTTGATCCATTTGGTTAGGGTGACGCTCGCTGTTAGGTTCTGTGGTCGTTTTTTCAGTTTGCGTCGCAGAAGAACCCTTAGTACTCGATTCGAAGTCAGTTCTCGTTGTAGGATTCACGGGACTCGATTCGAGGTCAGTTCTCGTTGCAGAAGAACTCACGGTACTCGATTCGAAGTTAGTTCTCGTTGTAGGACTCACGGGACTCGATTCGAAGTCAGTTCTCGTTGCAGAAGAACTCACTTCGAAGTCTTTGTTAGTATTACTCGTTTCACTCTTTACGTTGTTCACACTACTTCTCTCAATATTAGTCGAAGGTACGCTGTTCATGTCTAGATTAACATCCAAGCTGTCCTTTCGTTCTTCTTTCCCATATTTTTTCTTTATCTGCTGCTGTCGAGCATAGAATCTTTCCATAATCGCCTTTTTTTTCGCGTAATAGTCAGACTTTGCAACTTCGTACTTCCTTCTTATCAGCTGGTTATCGTTCGTCAAACTATCCACATCACGCCGACGAATTTTCTTTCTCGTCTCATCCACGGTTTCATAGGTATCCAAGTAGTTCCAGCTTTTCGTATTCTTCCGGTTCTTGTAGTCAACATTTCTCAGGTGTCTCACAGCCAATCCGTACTTATTGTATCTCTTACTCGCCCTTCCGAACTCGTCCAACACAGTCGAGTTTCTTTTCAACTTACCCCCGTGTCGTTCACTCTGTTCGTTCGTTACTTCACCCTCTTTCAACGACGTTCGAACGACATTCGAAGGTCTGGCACTTTTGCAAAATTCCTTGGTCTGACCGCAAGCGGTTCCGTTGTCGTCGGCGATTTCGGCTCCTTCGAACTTCACCTTCCATCTCCTCGGCCCAACTTCGTCGAACACGTTCGATTTCTCGTAATCCTTTCTCTCAACTTGCAATTCGTTCGAGACAGACGCCCCTTCGACAATTACGAAAATCGTCAAAGCTACGCAGACGCACGAGAGGCTCTTCGTGATCATATTCGCGAGACGATGTGAACGACTCGAGCGTCGACAAAGTGAATGGGGAACGTCTGAGATGGGTTTCGTATCTTTGAACTTAGCTTATCTGTCGTGTGCACCAGAATGTTAAATATATCTCCTTGCACGTTCTGCAATTGTTTCTTCAAGCACGTTACTTTATTTCCAAGATTTATCGCGACACGGTGAGAGTAGGATTGTTTGCCTTTCGCGGCGAGAGAGCGACACCCTGTTATCACGTAGCGCAAATGGAGGAGTTCTACATTCTCTTATCGCGTCGGATCGTTAGTGTTTCCCGAGGTAGTGTGAAAGAACACTCGAAGGATGTAACAGGGAGCGATGAATGTGTTTTATTGAAATTGTATCGGTTCACAGAGGCTGTGACACAGTCGTTTTAAACGGCTTCGACAGTGATGCTGTCCTTATCGCTATTTTCTTCGTTATAATTCAGCTTCTTTTTTTCCTCTTCAGGTTCGACCTTTGTATCCAATTTCTCGATACCGTCCTCACTCCCCTCGTTTGGTTTCATAGTGGTCGTTGATGGCGGTGTTGATTTGGGCGGTTTTCCTGGTTGGACTGGTTTCAAGACAGGATAAACCTGAAAAATTCGATCGATAAATAACGCGCAATGCGTGAAAAAAGTTGAGTTTATCGTTGGTAAATTTCAACACTTTTTCTACCGGATTCAATGGAAATCGGAGGTCGTAAACTGGGGCCCCGTAATAGAGGCTATAATCAGGCACATGGGAAGGTTTCCCATTTGCGAGTACAGCAGTGGGAATCACGTTCATGTCCGTCTGTACCTGGAAGAAAGAGCGGTCGTCGATGGAAAATACAAGCATAGAAAAGTAGAAGATGAACGTTTCTTTCGGAACTTTCTGTATAGTTTATTTTACACTGTAAACGTAATACGACGGTGTTTTGTAGTGAAGAAGCTGCGGTTCCACGGCGATGGTCTCAGAGGGGTACTGATAATTGTTCAGGTACAAATCTGGCCAGGTCGGTTTCGATTCTATCGACACGACCAGGATCACAGCGAAGACAAGCAGCGTAACGTGGACCTTCGAACAAAGAAATTTCTAATTAACAAACATTATTATTCCGTTCGTTAACGATACGACCAACACGTTCACCGGTGCACGAGGTGACATGTGTGTGTTTGCAAGTATAAAAAAAGAAAAAGAAGACAAATCCTCGAACTGATGTGACACGCGGGACAATGCGGTAGTCCGTGAAAGATTCATCTTTCCATGCGTCTCGACTGAAGAAACACCGACGCTTTTGATGATACGAGCTTTGGCTCGATGCGCAGTACCGCGTGGCCCGCATATCAATGATCCTGATTCACAGGCAACGCGGAAACAGATATGCTCGGGAGAAGTAACGGTTTGATCGTGGCTTGGGAATTATTTATAAAAAACCACTGTTCGTCTTTCTCCCTGGAATCGTTCGTATTTTCGAACCTTTCGCATCCTTTTACGCGGCAAAGAAAGAAAAGAGAGACGAATACTACGTGTTTCAGCGTAAATATTTGTCGAGATACGAGTTGTAGAAGAAAAAGAAAAACGAGGAAAACGTTCGACGCGAAGTAAAAAAGTCCGCAGGTTTGACGTGCGAGCAATTTTTGTGAAGACTCACCTGCATCATGGTGTTCACACAGCTTCGTGATAGACTCGGAAACTATCTGCACTAACCTGAATTTCAGCCCTACCCACGTTTTATATATTCCTCATGGAGAGCAAAATCCCCACCCCGTCGAATATCATCCGTGATTGTTTTTTTTTTTCTTTTGCTCCTACGCTTAGCTCTTCTGTCGTTTCCTCTCGGTCCTCCGCAGCGATCAACGGGATACCAGCTCGTGATTCTTTTTTTCGACGATCTCAGAGCCGCTCCGTGGTGATTAAGGAGTCTCAATCCTTGGTAATACACTGTCGACAATTCTTATCCGCATCGGGAACGAATTAACGTTCGGAACGTCTTGTATTCCTACTCCGTGGTGATTAAGGAGTCTCAATCCTTGGTAATACACTGTCGACAATTCTTATCCGCATCGAGAACGAATTAACGTTCGGAACGTCTTGTATTCCACGAAAATCATTATGATATACGTACGTAAGAGAATCGTGTGCAAGTTTTTCCAGTTTACTCTTACAGCGAGATTATGGAAATGTTTTCGCATCCAGGTATCACGACGAACAGGTGAAATTACGTTCGGCGAGGAGAATTTTCCGATATTTAGATTGTGAAATGGAGAATTTATCGGTATATCTCGAGATCGGTGAACGTCGATGTTCTGTGAGTGGAATATAGTATGCGTTATAATGTAAAATTTATTTGTTGGATCGAGTAGAATGACGAGATCGAGGAAGGAGAGGCGTACGTGAACCGGTTAACTCTGGCAAATTGTTGTTTAGAATATGAATGAAGGGTGTGGCCTGGCTGCTTTGACACCCGAATCTACATTTCTAATGTCTCTTCAGCTGGTGTCACCGTTCCGTTGCTTCGATTTTGATCGATGATTACGTAGAATCACCGGAGTCATTCTTAAACGCGGCAAGCGCCATCGCGAGTTTCACCTCGAGCTTCTTTAGAATATGAATGAAGGGTGTGGCCTGGCTGCTTTGACACCCGAATCTACATTTCTAATGTCCCTTCAGCTGGTGTCACCGTTCCGTTGCTTCGATTTTGATCGATGATTACGTAGAATCACCGGAGTCATTCTTAAACGCGGCGAGCGCCATCGCGAGTTTCACCTCGAGCTTTTCTGACAATAGGCGAATTCTACTAGTCGGAAGAACAATGTACCGACGATTTAATTAAAACGGATCTCTCGTTCTGTCTCTCTCTCTGTTTTGCAAAAACTGTCGCGTGGGTTTTATTGGAAGAGAAACAGTGCGATTGTCGGCCGAGGAGAATGTAAAAATTCGAGGTGAACTTCAAGGTGTCGGTGCCAAGAACTTTGACATTTTCACGGAAAGTTTGCAAGTAACCTCGTCTCTCAACAGCACAAGAATATCGATACAGGATCGTTTCGATGGAGAAATTTCGATGGAATTTATCCGTTTAATCATGGCTGTTCGACGGAACTCGCGAAATCGGAAGTGCTCGAGTTCGCCGTGACGCGGCGAACTGTTATGGCTCCCGAAGGACGTCACTCAAGGTCGTCTTGCCTAAAATGCAGAAGACAACTTCCGACGATGAGACTGAGATACGCGCCGTTGACTATCGAGGCAGGAGAAACGATACGGTCAGATGTCACGTTGACGTTTCAAGGTACGTATTAACCCTGAATAGGTTATATCGTTTGATACATACATTTGATACTTCTCTATCCGGGGGAAAATACGCTGGAAGCGTAGATTATCGGTAGGACACCGAATGGACGTTACGTAAAGTGACAAGAATCACGATGATCTAATCGAACGAAACTTACAAAGTTTTTATTACATCACGATGACGGGGTTCAGTTTCAGCCTAACCAATATTGTATTACAGTACGGAACAGTAGTATTTCTAACGATTAATCAACACAGACGTACGTTTAATCCTTAAATCTGTAAGATACTTTGTGCATAAGTATTCGAGATTGTTCGAGCGTAATTCGTTAGCAAAGGAAATATTCCGTTTAATTTGACCGAATAAAGGAAAGAACGAGGGAGTGCAGGGTGAAAGAACGAAATCCATACGAAAAACCCGCGCGTGCCGTGGAGAGGCAGCTCGGTGGACCAATTCGAACGAAACCGCCCTTTCGTGAATCGATAGGGTGAAGCTCGTGAGGCGTCGACTACGCTCGTGGATGTTCGCACGGCCAGTAATCAATCCGCGGGAGGTTTCGTGTTTATCAACAAGTGCCGCATACACCTGATTCCGCGTCAGCTTCCGTGACAGGGCTCGTTTCGTTCACGAGCCACCGCGAACAGTGGCAACCCTCGGTGGTTGCTCCGGAGTCGCGTTCGAGGACGAGGTTAAAACCGCCTCCCGAGCGTCCTTGTGCGGCCACCACCTCGCCGCCCGATAAATCCTGCGTATTTTTCCGGCTGTTCAACGTCCAAGGTCTTTTCTCTTTTCCTCGATTTTTACCTCGGTTTTCGACGATATCTTCACCTCGAGGATGGACCGAGGTGTTTTGTTTTGGGGAATTCTGCGCGCCTCTCGAACAGTTCTTCGCGGTTTTGTTGATTTTTCACGGTGAAAAGTGAAGGATTGCTTGGTTGTTTCCGCGGAGGTAAAGAGGGGTTAGGTTGCAGAAGCTGCGTGGCTCTTTATTCGCCTATGTTATTCTTCTGTCGGTTCGATTTTAAACGAAACGATTATTTTCATTGCTACCGCGAGTTTATCTCGAAGCGAATCTCCACGGTCCCGAGTTCGTCGAGAATTTGCGGCTCGCACGAACGTTCGAGAAGCGTCTTGGTAAATTATTTTCGGTGATTTCATCTCGACTCGTAATTTATTTGAGGAAACCGCGACATCGTTTTGGGAATCTCCGTGTATCGTCACGATTTACTCTTACTCACCTGCTCGTCATAATTTAACGTCCTATATTCAGACAAGACCGATGGACAAGCAACGGAACGTTGTCCATCCTTTGGCAACCGGATTCCGCTTCCGCCATCTCCAATCGCGTTCCGCAAGCAACGTTTCCACATGTCACATGCGCGCCTGAAATCTGCCGGTTTCGAAACCGTCTCCGCTTCTAAAATGATTTACAGCCTTAATACGTGACCTATTATTTACGCAACAAAGTGGTCGGTGAAACTTCTCCATTTTTATACTTAATTCTCGGTGGGGATTGTGCAGTGCAAGGTACGAGAGTGAAGTGAATCGTCGAATCTTAATGAACCAACGAGAAGAGCATGAATAATAAATCTTACCGGAACCTTCCGCCGTTTAATTGTCAATGTCTGCGACTGTACCGTCGCGATGCGTCGATTAATGATCGAGGGTTGCGATCGAGGAGGGTGGCGTGGAAAATATGAGAAAAGGGGCGAGGTTTTCGGAAAGCGGCCGTCACTATAAATAGAGGCGCCTCGTGCGTGCGTGCTATGCTTTTAAACATAGTTTTGGCAGCGCGAAACGTCAAACCGCCTCGGAGTGGCAAGCCGCGTGGATCGTTCCGCGAGTTTCACGGAAAACATTGGCCGGTGCCCTTCTTTCTTTCTCGCGGTGTTCGTCTCGGTCCAGATACTCTTCTCCGTCGTGAATCGAACGTGAAAATCATCGTGGATATTCGATAATTCGTGGCCTTCTTACGAGCAACAGAACCGACCGGACGACAAAGAAAGAAAGAAAAGAACGAGTAAAAGGTTCGTCTAAAGCGTCGGATAGAAACGAGACGTGTTTGAGTTTCGCCGTAAGGTCGCGTTTTAAAGGGAGGAATAATCGATTGCGTTTCAAACGTTCGTCGAAGCACCAGCCTCGATCGAACGACCATTTCCTGGTAAAACGAACCAGCTGGTTTCTCGTGCCCGTTCTGCTTTTGTTTTCTCCTAGAGGAAGGGGTGGGGAGAAAGGGTGTTAGGTAGAAGCTTCAAAGGGTGCCACGAGGGGAGAGGAGAATAAATAATAATAATGAAAAGTGCGTCGGAGAGGTGCGACAAGGAGAATCAACGGCCCACGGAGGCGAGTCACGAGGCGGAGGAAAACGCGCAGGATGCCCAGGACGAAGAGTAAAAATCGCCATCACGCTAAACAAACACGCTCGCCATCGCGTTTCGTGCGTGTGCTCGTCGTTCTGCGTCAGGTTTTTCCGGTCCCCGTTCCGAACGCACATTTCTCGTCAAGCTTCGCACGCTACTGTTCGTTGACACGCGTGTCGTGTGCTTTTATCGAACGATTATCGCGTGCTTTCGGTTCTCTTCTAACGAGCATTTTTTCTCGAAGCGGCAACGGCTTTCGAGAAACAATGTTGAAGCGTCCCGGCGAGATGGAATTAGTCCGGGTGTTGTTTGCGAGGGTAATTGCAAAATCCCGCATTGGCACAACCAACCAATGTGATTCCGGCCAAATAAATAATCTCACGTTGGAACAATTGCGCTGACAGTATTTATCGACTGTAAATTTCCGAGGTTTAACCGCGTTTTACAATGTGCTTCTCGAACGTGGACGGGTGGTTGGAAAAAAATGCAGGTAAAATGGAGATGTGTAAAATGGGTAGTTTCGTTAATTAGCGTTCGATACCGATTTCACCGGTCCCATGTTACCTCTGCATTTTTGTCGTTGCTTTAAATGTTGATCGCTTGTAGTATCCTTCGCTGTTCAAGGCACTTGCACGATTTCTTTTTCTCTCTCTCACGCTGATCTTTTCTTTTCACCTCGCTCAAACTGTACGTTCTTTCATTAGTCGATGCTGACACAGGTGAAAACTGTAGACAGTTCTCGTAAGAAATTGCACCGCCTGCTGTTTCAACGGATACTCGAGAAGGAAGGAAGAACGAAGCTCGAGCGGTGCATTTTCATTCGTGGACCACGCCGGTTTATTTTCGTCTGATCACCTTGTTATACGGTCGCGTTAATTAACCTTGAACGGGGAGGGGACTCTTCCCGATGTTCGATTTTCATTTCTGCGCGACATTGGCTGAACGCATCGTCGCGGTGTGAAAGGAGATTAATGCGTATTATACTCGGGAAATTGGCCTGAAGCCAATGGACACTCGATTGATGACACCGCGAATCACTCCACGCTTACTTACGTCTCTCTCTCTCTCTCTCTCCTTTTTATTTTCATAAAAAGACAAAAGAAAGAATCGTGATACTTGTGTTTTTGTATCGCAGATACACGAAGGACTTTGTAGACGAGCAGTAGGACGAGCTGCTGCGCTCCTTTGGTTAAGTACAGAGATGTCAATGAACCCTGTTCACGCTCTTTCGTATTCACCATCGAAAGAGACACTTTCTTTCCTTTTGTTTCGTGCGAATAGTAGAAAAAAAAAAAGAATGAAATAAAAGAAACAGGACAGACCCGTAGAAATTTTTGTCGTTAGACGTACAAGAAGAAAGAAGTATCGCAGTTATCGTCATTATTTTATTTTTGTTCAAACTATCAGTGCTATCCTGCATCCTTGTTGCTTGCCGTGGTGTTGCATTCTCCCACCTCCCCTCTCATACTTTTGCGTAGCTTTCCGTAGTAGCTTAAGATTGCATGTTCGACACTGGTTTGGCTGAAAGATGAAGCGTGCTGCTGTTTCACTTGCAATCCTTTCCCACCGCTCGTGGCCTGCTCCACTCCGACCGATAATTGAGCTTTCATTGTTCGATTCTGCGGTTTAGTGTGATGTCACCGAGCAACAAAAGCGCGGACGAGGCTGCAAACGATGCATTGTTGGAGAAGCTCCGAAGTTGCGTGTCCAAGCCGCAGGAGGCCGAAACGTTCAGGCATATCGCAGCTAAGATTCATGCTCGCGTCACGTCTTCAGGTAACCATGTTTATTCTATCCCTCATTTTTATTGCCTCCTTTCTTCATCTTTATCCCCCAAATCCAGGCCTCTGCACGTTGTCCAATAAGCTCGACACACGCTACGTTTAGAAAAATGGGAGAATACGAACGAGACATTTTTCTATTTCTTTTTACATTTCTTTGGCCAAGTAGAATATGAAAAAATTGGACAGTGGGTATCTCCGGGGAGAAAGAAGGAGTTTCTAGGTTTCATTCATTATTCGCCGCACCAGGAAACGAGACTTGAATGCGGCAGCAAAGTTTTTTAACGAGTCGAAACAGATTGGACACTCTAAGACGGGCCTCGTGCCGTTAAATTGCTATTTTTACCGCGAACGTTGGCTTCTATTTCATCGGGCTAATCACCAGAAACTTGCACAATTTATTATTCGTACCGTGTCGGGGTGCTTGCACCGCCGCCCCTTTCCTCGCCGCGAGCGAGCGAGCGAGCGAGCCGAACACTCGACACGTTTCCGTCCCGCGAATCATCGTTCCCAATTCCTTTTTTCCACATCTCGAACGGAAACACTTTTAATTTCCCCTCGCACGAACCCTTCAACCGTTTGAACGTTTCGTGTCGGAAAAAATTCCCGGTGAATTCCTTTTCCACAAGACATTGAAGAAGCAGTCCTCGTGTGTCTGAATCGAATTGCAAATCCAGGTCGCTTTCGCAATATACGTATATACACGTTCCTTCTTTCACATTCCCCTACAAATCACTCGAATCGAGGAAGAGATAAAGGAAAAGAATAAAAAAAATCTGAAAAGAATAACGTAGCAACGAGCGGAAGACGAATTATGCCATCGAAATAGCCGAACCATTTCCGTGATGCATTCCAGATAGCCTCATCGAATCGTTTATACTCATGTTCCCATGCACGCCACCAAATTATCACAGATCAAAAGCTACGTTTCATTAGCGTACAAATTTAGATCCTGTTTTATTTATACGATCAACTCGATCATGCGTCTAGTTTCGCCACCATTTTTTTCCACACTTGCACCCTACGTAAATGATTTACTATGGGCGGTGTTCGACGGACAGAGGCGAACAGGTGTGCAAATAGTGGACGTCACTCGTTATTTTCGAAAAGCCGGCTATCCCGTTGTTCGATTACATAAGGACCTTTCGGGTAACATTGATAGACCGTTTTGGCGGTGATCCAACAAAACCGAACGATACAACGTTAGATCGTCTTCGAAGTGAATCGCGGTCGTGCCAATTTGATAAGGGCCCTCCGTTAGAGATTGGTCGATACTTTCTGCATATTCGGAAGCGGGTGTCGTTGCACCTGAGTCATCGTTTGGCTAGAGGTAACGAGCCTCTCTCTCTCTCTCTCTCTCTCGAGACCAGACGTGAGTGCTCGATCGTTGTTACTACATTCTGCATCGTCATTCCGTTGGACAGCTTCTGTACGTTGCATCGACGGTGAATTACGAACAGCGGCTGTATTTTACGCGAGGAAAGTAAATATTCCGAGGGGGAGTTTGATTTCGTTGTACCTGGTTACGAGTGACGAGACTGTTTGCTTAGGCTCTTCTCGCTGGCTACCGTTCAACTGACCTTTTTTTACAAACCTCACTCCCGTGTACCTGTGTCACATACACGCTAAGGATTGTAAGCGTCTGTTCACCTATTTATTTACAATGTCCTTTTTATTTTTAATCGTTTTTATCTTAGCTGTTTGATTTCTTTCTTATTTTCTTTTGCTTCGTTTACGTATAAAGCACTATGAGAAATACTGTGTAATTATTGGCGATTGGTAATGTTTTCTGACGAGTCGAAGAATTGATTCGTACAAATTGGGAGTTGAATAGATTTCTGGGTGAATTTCTCGGCGTGAAAATATCAATGTACAGTTTTTCGCTGTTGGTGTCCATGGCATTGGTCACGATTGGCCTTGTGTCAAGTCTGAAATGAGAGCCTCTTGCATTTTACCGATGCACAGTATGCCTGGTATTGCACGGAGGACACTAATACGCGCACCTGTTCGCCCGATTATTCATTATGGCAGCGATGTACGCTATTTGGCATCAGGAAGCTACTACATTGATTCCCCGAAGATTTACATCGTATTTTCCTGTCCCTCGAACGTTAGACCAATTAGCTACGTCTCGTTAATTATCGCCATTTCTCAATTCACACCGAAGATCCAACCTTCTCATCCATATACTCGACCTTCCTTCCACAGAAACCTCTCAGAATTTTAAGATCACGTTAACGATACTAAAGAAGAGAAAAAAAAAAAGAGAGAACAATTCATGAATATCTTGCAGATCGACGAGTACGCGAGCGAACGCTGGAGAAATTATGGCGCAAGAATTCCGGGGCGATGGAAATATTCATCGCAACGCTGGAGGTAGGCGGTCTTTTAATTTAAATCGCTGGTTTGTCAACCCTATAATTAAGGTCGATCACTTAGATCGCGAAAGGTGGAACGTTGATGACTTGTAACGCGCGTTCGTGATTTTCGAGAGGCGTGACTCTAGGAACGGGTGGCTTTTAACAAAGCCCGATGTTTAATCGACACTTTCTGGACCGAATGAAACGTGCGGATAACCATGTCGCGATTAACAATTCTGCACGAAATGGCGTGGCTAGCTCGCATCAACCACTAACGGGTCCCCATTGTCTATCCTGTCGACGGGGGTTTCCTGCCGCATGCAAAACTGGAAATCCGTTCGTTCCATTTTCTGTTAAGTGTTGCACGCACGCAGCACACGGGAATAATTATCCCCGTGGCCTTTTGCGCGCGTTGAATACCTCTCGATCGGAGTTCCCCGAACACCTTCACGGCTTGCAACCACTTCAGACGTACTCGCACATCGTCAATGGTAAATCGGGGTTGCTTCTCCTTTTCTTCTTTCTTATATCGTGAAATTCTCTCTTGTTGCAGAACTGCAAGGATCACGTGATAAACTGCAGTATCGCAAGCATACTACACGAATGCATATCACCGCGCGTCGCTAAAGGGAAGACTAAAGGGAGCAAGAACAAAAGTGCGACAAGTAATAGTCATTTTCTAATATTCGACGAGTTAACCAGTATGTACACGTGACGTGTTTCGAGTGATCGTAAATGAACGTAGGAGAAGTTGGATCGATAGCGTAATTGGTATCGCCGGTTAATTGAAACGATAATTGGACGTCCCCTTTGCAGGATCCAGCAGCCGAATGGCAGTGATGCAGCTAATCAATTTAGGTGTCACGCAAGTCCTAGTTAAGCTTTTGGTTAACCTGCAACACGCGGACACCATTTCGAGCGAGGTCCTCACGCAGGAGTTGCTTTGGATTTTGGGCCAGGTACGACGCTTAGTACCATCTTTTCTTCTCCTAACATCTTTTCGAGTGAAAAACATTCCAGGTGGCCCAGAGGGACCAGAAGTTCGTGTCGAAGATGAAGATGTTGAACACCGTGAAAGTGTTCCATACACTTCTTAAGCAACACTACAACAATAGCAAGACCCTGTTACCATTACTGTTGATCGTCAAGTGTCTCGCCAGAAACTGTGAGCAAACAATTCTAGATATTTCTATAACCTGTGGCAGTGCCATAAGCTATTTAAATCGCATTTTCGCGGACAGCATACTCACTCCAAGTGTTGGTGAAGGACGGAATAGCCAGCACGTTGGAGAAAACGTTCGTCTGCGTTGGTTACATGCCTCACCTGAAACTCAGATCGTTGTTGGAGTGTTTCAAATATTTCACAACGAGCAGTACGTACAGACTATTTTCGTTTATCGTACAGCTGATCCTATCGTTCGGATTGAACTTTAGTAATTTAGCTGGCTTGTAAGCAAGTACTGTACACAACATACCCACGTTTCCGTTTCGTTTAGAACTTTGTTGCACGAAATTCGCGAAGGTGGGCCTGGTGCATCTGTTGATGAGGATCTTCGAGAGATGGGAACGTTTCGACGGTCCGTTGAGATTGAAGATTTGCAATTGCGCCCTGATCACCTTGCAGCATCTGTGCGTCATAAGTGAGTTTATTAGCGTTGACCTCGGATCGCGATAATATCTGGCCGGAAGTTCATTCTATAGAGTAATAGAACTTGTATACGCTTACGAACATTGTACCATCGAGGAACGCGTTGTTTCTAAGCAGGAAAAGAGAAAAGGGAGAAAAACAAGAAGAAGAAACAAATCAAGATTCCAATGCATGTCATTTTTTTTCTTTCGTAATTGTCTTTCAAGTGTCTTATTGTCTCGTAATTGGTTAGAGCCGTGAACGATTTCAGGCGATCTTCTCTTCTTACTGAACAAACATCGCGCATGCAAATTTATGCCCGTTGTTATGCTCACCGGTGGCGGTTTTACGTCGCCATTACACGCGGACCTTCTTTTTTGCATGTTTCAGAAGCCGGCAGGAAGGCTATCAAGACGAACAATGGTCTGCAACTGCTGTACCGGTTCTGCAGCAACTGTCCGGAGGATAAAGCGTACGATTCACTGTTGTCGCGTATATGCGGGATAATCAATCAATGTCTGGAGAAGAGGGAGCTGCCTGTACCCGAAATGTCTCCGGCAAGGTGAACGAAACGTTCGAGGTTGTTCGAAATCGATCGACTTCTAGATCTTAGGTTCTAGATAGCGGTAGTTTATCGATACGATCTAGCGTAACGGTTCGTCTATCTCACTGGGCTAAATAAAAAGGATTTCTGAAGCCTTCTTAACTGGTTCAGATTTTTAATTATGTTAATTACGTCGATCAGGAGGTGGCATATCAAAACTACCTTTCTAAGGAGTTCTGTCTGTAATATTTCACATATTCGTACGAATTTTTTTTTCCAAATTTCGTACACCTATTCCAATGTAAGAAGCAACGTGGAAAAGCAACTACAAGGATGCTCGTTTTGCAGATTTGTGCTGCCCGAAGCGAACGTCAGGCCGAACAGCGCGGAGAGCGGCAGCGACATCGACAGTCAGGTGCGTATTTTTGTCGGGCCGAATGATGTAACACGTGCGAGACGTAACTCTCTAAGAGGTTGCACGGGGCCGTAAAACATCGGACAATCGAGCCGCGAGAATGCCTCACGAGGAACTTTCTTAGGTTAACTACCTACAGTTTTAACGAGCGTCTGTGTAATTTCCTGACGTACGAAATGTGTCCGAGCAGGCCTGCAGCGTCGCTTCCCTCGGAAGACCGTACAGCGACCTTGATTCTGGAGACGAGGAGGAAAGCCAGAATTCAAGGACGAACGCGAAGAGTATTCATACGTCCGACGAAGTGGACGAGAGCAAATTCTTCGCTGGTGTGTTCACGTCGCAGAGGACCGAAGAGGATCTAGCAGAGTACGTGGGCAGATTGTCGACGAACCTACATGTTGACAAACGAGCTTCGTTGTAAACGCTGAAGTTCTATCTTCTAGGTATAACACCTTTTTCAAGGAACTAGGCAACATACACCTGCAACTCAACACGAAGTCTTCGTCTGACAAGTTGATCGATTCCCCCGAGCCTATGGAAGAGGACAAGCCGAACTCGAAATACGCCAAATGGGCCAACAAGACGAAAACGTTCGCGAAAGACTCGGTGAAAGAAGCTAAGAATCAATCGACGAATGCCAGTACATCGATAAAAATCTTCAAAGACATGTCCTCGAGTCTCACAGATCAACAGGCTTACTGCATCGTAGCTAGCAGAGTGAAAAGTGTGATTCGATTCGAGAAAGTAGCTTATCCGGACCTAGTCGGCGGCGACGGTCTGGGAAATAACGAACCTCTGAACTACAAGGACAGGAAAGTCTGTAGATCGAAGCTTCTCACGTGTGTAGAACGAGGTCTTCACGGTGGAACCTTGGTGCAAGAGGTGGTCTACGATCTCGACGCGTTGTCCTCGAACTGTTCTTCCGGCGAGGAGCAAAATTCGACGGATAATCATCTGTTCAACTGGGACGAGAGTAGAATAGGGAAGCGTAGCTCCGACAGCAAGCAGTTGCACTTCGAGTCCAGGTTCGAGAGTGGAAATCTGAGGAAAGTTATTCAGGTACAACTCCAAGAATATTTCTAACCGACTGTAATCGAAAGAAGAACGATTTTTTATTACTTCCACGAGCATCCGTATCGCGGCAAATCTGCGTCATTTCTTTCCAATCCGCTTGCTTGCAGATAGGCCTGAGAGAGTACGATCTGATCCTCACGCCAGATGTGAACAGCGGTTCCAGGCATCAGTGGTTCTATTTCGAGGTGTCCAACATGGAGGCGAATCTGGCTTACACGTTCAACATCATCAACTGCGAGAAGGCGAACTCGCAGTTTAATTTCGGCATGAAACCGATCCTCTTCAGCGTCACCGAGGCTCATCTTGGTAGACCTGGTTGGGTGAGAACAGGAGCTGAGATCTGCTACTACAGAAACTGTTATCAGCGACCAGCCAAGGGGAAGAATTACTTGACCACTTCGTTCACGGTTACCTTCCCTCACGCGTACGATGTTTGTTACCTGGCGTACCATTTCCCTTACACTTACAGTCAGATGATGACTAACATTTGGAAGTGGACCAGAAGGGTTCCGCCGAGTACTTATTTCAGGGCTGAGACCCTCTGTGAGACGTTGAACGGGAACGAAAATCCTCTCTTGACTATCACGTCTGTGGACTCTAAGAGCAATCCTATACAGGTGAGTTTTCGAAGAGAGAACGTACAGAGAAGAATCGAAGATTTTCTAGGTTTTAAATTTATTTGGAACTTCGATATTTTCCTGGTTTTCTAGAATCGCAAGGTGATATTCCTGACGTCGAGAGTCCATCCAGGTGAAAGCAACGCTTCCTGGGTGATGCACGGTACCCTGGAAGCACTATTGGGCAATAATCCGTACATGGCTAGCTTGAGGGACGATTACGTGTTCAAGATCGTGCCAATGTTGAACATCGAGGGCGTGGTGAACGGTTGGTAAGTGATACTCAACGAGACGTTACTTGAAAAAAGGGGTGAGAAAGATTGAATTGAATACCGTAGGAAGTGTATTTCGTACCTTTATTAATATTCAATTACACAAGTTGCACATTCGCGCCGTGTTTACGCAATGATATTCAAGATCCATGTGTCGATGACTTACGGTAGCGGTTAGAGAATCGTTTCATGGTGTTGATCTAACGCGTGTATGCCGATCCGCTATACGTCTGGATGACCGAAACGTTGCGATTCAAGCTTCTTCATTGAGTAATCTCGTTCCATGTAGCACTCTTCCAGACCTTGGATCTTTTTCGATCGCGTTTAAACGTCGAAGGAAAAAAAGCTCGATCAATCTCCGACTGATCGACATTCTCTCGACGTTTAAATCTCGCCAACCAAAGAGAATCCAAGGAGAATCGGTTCGGTTGCGAAACGTTCCATCTTGCAGACGTACGTGTTAACGTTAACTAAAGATGATTACATCGATATGCAATGAGAAGATTCGTGGCACTGGCGGACCCCCAACCCTACACCGATGATGATTCAGTTAGCCTTAAGAACAATGATAATGCGTAGTTTCACCGCGCGTCTCCACTTCGTTACTAGCTTTAATGCCTGAGATCCCACGCAAATGAATCCTCACGTTTTCCGTTACCTATATCGTATCTACCATCTACGGAGTGAAATAGCGTAAAAAGTGATACGTGTTCCGATAAAAGGAAAAGAGAAAAAAGAAAGAAAATAAGAAACAAAAATCTTCCGAAGGGGATAGAGAAGAATGGAGCGCGATGCGATTATGTCCGCCGGTGCCACCACGGATGTGCGATTAAAAGATCGAATCGAGAATGATCGAGTGAATGCCCTTGCGAGAACGACGTCGGCTGTCGTCGGAGAGATCGATGCCAGAAGGAAAAGGCCTGGTCGAAATTTACCACTACTTTGAGCAAATAATTCTACCATAATTTCTACAATTACAACACCTCCGGTTAAACGTTCCCACTTATTAAAAAACTCTGGAACATCTAACGACGATAATAGTAACAATAATAATAATAAGAAAAAATACGAGACCCCATCTGGAAGTCTTCCTTCTGTCGATCGAAATGTTCCAACGATCGTAAACGGCGTGAGAAAAAAAAAACAGAAATCCGACGAGCACTAAAATCGGCTAATTCCATTGAAATCAGAACGAATGGGGGATGTGTGGGGGGGTGTGGATGAGCGATGATTAATGGCGGCGAACGTCTCCAAATACGTACCCCAATGGAGTGTCGTTCGCTTGCTCACACGTTTCTGACGGTTTCCGCGATATACACATAAAATAAACGTACGTACTTAATACAATCTAAGTTCCTCGAATAGAATTCTCCCATGCTCTTTACTTCACTTATTCAACGAATAACGCGACGACGATGCCTAAATTGTAAAGCGTTACTTGGACGGAGGGTCTAATACTTTGCCGTTGGTGCGCACTTTGATCTTGTACCTGTGGGCCGGTTCCGCCTCTGGCAGGATCGTGCTGCTGTCGTCGTCTTGATCCTTCATCATCAACGATTCACCCGCCTCTGGTTGGTCGTTCACGTAGTAATCCTGAGCGCTGTCGTACGGACCAACAGTGTGAGCATCTTCTAATCCATTGTTCGGCGACTCGGTCTCTCCTCCTTGGACCTCGAAGTAGTCCGGCGACTCTCGATGCTCGACCTTCATGTCCGAGGTGGAACGTAGAGACGAACGATGAATCTCGCGTGTTTGCAAACCCTCGAACACGTTGTCCTTTCTTGCTTGCGGTCCTGGAGGATCGGTGAAAAGGCTGGCGATGTCTGGAAGATGATCTGGTCTGACGTTGTCCTCCAGGTTGTCAGCGTTGTCGGTTGGTTGCTCGTGATCTTCGGTGATGACGGGGGATATTGTGGACGGTGTTAGGACGGCTTGCTGTTGCTTGTCAGACGCGGGAACGGCCGTGGTAATCAGCCTGCTAACGACCGGGTCTTCAGGTGACTTCTCATCGACAGAGCTCTCCTCCTCTTCCGGTGTTGCCTTCTCGTCGATGCTGCTGCTGTTCTCGTTCTCGTCGTCGATTTTCTCGGCGTTGCTTTCCACGTGCTCGTCGACCTGGTCGTCGCTGGCTGGCGCCGAGGTGGTTGTTATGTAGGGTCTGCGATTTCTGTAATACCGCCAATTGGTTTCAGGGGGACGTTGCCGCCCCGTTCGACGAGGACGAAGCGATAGATGATATTTACGAAGGAAGAGGGACCGTTATTCTATGGAGTAATGGAAAATTATCGTGTCTCTTGTTAGCTTGTTAGTTAATTGTGATGTTAGAAGGAGAAAGTCTGGAATCACTACTAGCTTATTAGAGAAGTATCGTTAATGTTAAATTTGTTTAAAAGGGGTTTTGTTAATTGTACCGAGTCCAGTAGTGTCCAAATTTCTTTACACTGGTGAATGTACGCGTATGTGTATAGTGTGCGTGTGTTGCGAGAAGCGAGAGAATGCGTTATTAATCGTGACGCGAGCATCACGAGGTGTGGTAAGCAGCTTTTTATCCGAGCGACGGCAAAGATTTGTCGCACAGTATCCCCAAGTACCATATATATATATATGTATATTTTATATCTATCTTACTCTCTTATTCAGACTACGTGAAGCGTTATCAGTTCGTTTCATTAAGTCGCATAACTGCACGGAGAAAAAAACCTTGCTAACTGACGGTCCGTTAGACTCGTTCGATTTAATTAACGCACGGGACAAAGATGCCATTTTCGTAATTAACACAGGCTCGTACCGACACGGTGTGTAATTTGCATGCGAAAATATACTGCCTCAAGGGTTTCGTAAGATCGGCGAAAAGAAAAAAAAGAAGGGAAAAATAAAAATCGTCGCTATTAAAAGCTCGCTTGCGTGTGTACGCGTACACGTAAGAGGCAATGCGATCACGCGTGGGACCAGCATCGTTTCCAAGTTTTCTCCCGTATCTTATCGGTTTATTCCCTCCACCGTTCTTTTATTTTTTTGTCCGTGCGCCATGGAGAGATTCACCTTGGAACACGTTAAAATCCTCCGATAACCTATCTCTTTATCTCTCCGCCTCTTTCTCTCCCTCTCTTTCTCTCGTCTTTCTTTCGTGTATTTTTGTGACAAGTATTATCTCACCTCTTACCCCTGAGTCGCAGAGACTGGAATGCTGCCGTAGTTGTAGTAGTAGCATCTTGTTTGCTCGCAGATGAAGTCCTTAACCAGAGTGCAGTCCTGTGCCTCCCACGCTAGCGTAGGCGCCGCCATCGCGACGCATCCATCGGCGCTGCCGCTGTCGCCGCTGCAACCAGACATGTTTCCGGATCAGAATATTTAATCACTTCACCTGCTCTCTGTCCCCGTTTACCGATTCGATGCACGCGTTTCCGGGTATAGACGGGAAGGGACCGTCGATAATTATCGTTCGTGACACTCGAATCGATCTTTCGTCTATTGTCTTATTCCTAGCTTAGGACGCCGAGGAACGTTTGGATTTACCTTCTTGTGTTTGTCTACGTGTCTCTTTTCTAGGCACGATTCCTTTGTCTATCAGACTTCCGGTTCTCCTGTGAGTTTTTTAATCGACAGTCTAGAACGATCGTCGATTCTCTTCACTCTGATATCTATCGGGATTTTTCGTTGGACGTGATACGATTCTCGATATCATAGAGGTTACGATTTGGGGATCGAACGGAGGAAGTTTAACGCGGTAATAGTCGTTATACCTTTCGCGTGCCACTCGTTGAGGCTCGGTGCCGGGTGGAACGTCAACGGGTCTGTTGCCAGGTCGCCTCAACATGTAATCGAAGGTGGCGTTGAACGGCAGACCTGTGCTCATCCACAGGAACATGTCCGTGCCCAACTTGTTGCCCGATGTCCAGAAGTCGTACTTCACGTAGCCGGCGTTCTTCAAGTACTGCGTCATCGTGTCGGCTTTTTCTTTAGTCTCGAAAGAGGCTAACTGAAGACCCAGCGAGCGGCAGTATTGGTACGCCAGGAAATAATTCAGCTCGGGACTGTACGGGTTCATCCTTGACACGAAGTATTGCACACCGTCCAGCTGGATAGTTGTGATCCTTTGAGCTGCAAAATATTATTCATCGACGATATTCAAACTATTTTTCTGACTATATGTCCTCAAATTTTTACGATCCTCGATTAATTATTGTTCGTGCAATAAGGATCATCGAACAATCCCGAATAATTAAGCATCGGTAACTTGCTTTCTTTCGTTTAAATGAAATATATCTAGGGCGAATTAGCCAGGTGTTGTTCGAATTGAAACGGTAGAAAAGGAGTGGATCGAACTGCCAGGACACCTCGACCGAGGCAGCTGATGAATAAAAAAGGAAATTCCTTTCTTGCTCCCGTATTATCTCATCGAGGCACGTCTCCGCCGTTGACTTCCGACCAGACCACAAATGGCAGCCCCAGACGCGGGAAAAATCATCCTGTGAATTCTTAATCTACTCGGTGTCCCATTTTAGTAGCGTCGCGTTGAACCGTTACGTCTGGGAGCAACCGTGGAATATTTTCGCGTTGTCGTTAATTCGCGGACGCACGTTGTTCGACGTAATCGAACAGAGACACACACGTTCACCTTTCAATTCTATCCCTTTGCTCTACATTCGAAACGAACCCGCGAGATCCAGTTCCCTTCCCATCCCAGTGTAACCCCTTTTTTTTTCTCGCGTTTTCTTTTTTTTCTTTTACCGTCACTTTAAAGTTAATTGGAGTTTATGAACGTCGTTAGGAACGATCGTGCCAAAGTCACGCTGGCTTTATGGCGTTGTAGCAACACACGCTACACGCGTTCGTTCCGAATCATTATTCTCCGACGCGATTTTAATTTACCTCTGGATGTGTGTACGCGCGTCACCCGACGCCGTTCGTTTTAGCCGGCTTCGCCAGTGACTCTGTACTTTGCGAGAAGAGTGTCGTGTTCACACGATACAACACCGAGTCTGCCAGAGTTCATCGAACTTCTACGGCTATTTGGTTAACTGTACTTATAAATTATGACCCGTTTAGGCCCCTGAATAGCCTTGAAACGACCAGTTCCCTCTCTAGTAATTTCCATCATTTTTTTTTCTCGTACTCCCAACTATCGTACAATTTTGCATACGAACTTGTTTATTTTTTTACATATTTCGAGCTTCGATTAGAAAATTTCCTGTCGCGAATAATAGCGAGGGAAATTTGCTTTTCCAAATTATCGTTCAAGTTTGCGACATTTTTTTCGGAAGATTCAACCACAGTTTGGGGAGAAGTGGATTCTCGAGATTGGGTGAAACGTTACGAAATACGTAAACAACTGATTGGAAGTGGTCGGAGGAAGGTGCTCGACGGATTCACAGGGTGCGTTCCGCATAGAAACGTTCCGGATCGTGAAGCCGGCGGCGCAGGTGGTGGTAAACGACCTGAAGACCTTGAGACGTCTGCCGCCAGTGTTCTCGGCGAAAGAAGACGCCTACTAGACGCCTTGCGCCGCGATTTCATTCACGAATTATGCCACTTGCGTGGCAATTAACGCCATCTCGATGCTTATGAATCGACGGTGTGATCGCGACTAGATACGAGATACTCGTCGATCGATGGAAAATCTCGGAAGAATTAAAAAAAATAAAGAAGATGTTCAATTGACAGAACGAAGAAAAAAGCCAACATGGTAACAGAGGAGAGAAGCTTTTCTCCTCAATTAGAAATTAGGTGCACGACTTTCTTTCACGTTCGACACAAAAGAATGTTTGAATGGACGCAACGCGAATAACAATCCTGAAAGGAACGATCGAGAATGACGGACGAGTGATCTTGAAGTCGCGTGCGTGATCAGCGACCGCGCGTTTCCTCTTCGAACCTTTCAATGCACCGGACGTCGCAGCCGGTCGATTTCACGGAGGAAAGAAGAATACAAGGACAGAAGAACATCGGTGAACAAAGGGGATCTGAGAAAACGTGGAAAACGACTGAAACGCGAGACCGAGAAAAGAAGAAACTATCGAACGAACTTCCGAAAATCCTCACTAAACCAACCGAACTGAATTAAACTTCTTTACCAATTCACCTAACCTAACGAAATTCCAACATTTGCAACTTTCTATCCTGGTCCTATCGATGTTTAAATTAAGAGAGCCGATAATTGAGGAAAGTGGTGAAGAAAATGCGGTACGAACCTGAAGCGAAGGCCGCGACAAGCAGCAGCAGCAGAGCGATCTTCATGGTGGCGTGTGCCGATTAATCGATCAAGCAGCCGTTTCCGTTTCCGACTCTCTCGGAATACACCGGATGTTAGTGTTAGGGTCGCGTTCTCGGACTGGCCTCGCGCTGCGCTGTGGGCCCCCTTAAGAGTCTTCTGCCCGGATCCCAGAGGAGGGGGTCGTTGAAGATGATTCACTGGCTAACCTAGAGCAGGACGAGCGTAGCCCATGAAGGGACGAGCGGGCACGAGAGAGCGGGACAACGAGTATACCGCGAGACGGGGGTATATATACGTACCGATCCGAAATGTAATCGACTTGGCCGTGCAAAAAACCGGCGAGGTGACAAGGTCGTTGAAAAAACCGTGGTACAATAGGCTAACGTCGGCTGGGAAGGAGGGTTAGGTGAGGATGATGCAGTGCGTTCGTTGACACGGCATACGCTGGGCAAAAGCTAGCGCGAACTTTTCTATACAGGCGTGTGCTCACGCGTGAACAACGAGAAGATGGACAGTCTTTGCTATCCTTTCTACGTGAGTTCGAGGTATATATGTATATAGAAGATTCATGGATGACTTGGAGGAACGTCGAAGAGTTGTCGAATTGTGGTTCCTTTTTTTTTTTTTGAATATTCCGTTCGATTCGAACAAGATTGGTTTATATAGTTGGAGAATTACGGTTGGATCGTGTCGAAGAAGAGTTGGGTCGTTAGTGGAACGGAGAACGAGGCGTGAAGCTGTCTACCAGACAGCGGGAGGATCGTTTGTTGGTGAACTCCGCGCGCACCAATCTATTTGGAGTGGCGGTGCACGCTATTAATAACGTTGTTCCATCGTTTAGTTTGTTTTATACCACCGCGGTGGTTGCAGCGGATGGAATTTCGCTTCGGCGTATCTCTTCACGGTCTTCATCGTCCTGAATGGAATTGTATCGACGGGCCGAGGCGCAAAAAAACACACACCGACCTCAAGGTAGACTTGATTTCTCGAGAGTGCGCGGAGGGAAACGCGGCGGCGCATACCATCCCTCAAAATCGTGCTTTTCCATCGTCGCGAACGACATTCGCCGGTGATCGGCTTAAACGTTCTCCAGCGATATTATCGTTCATGCCGCGCTGTCGTCGCCAATGTGCAAATTGCCGCTTTAAGCGACGCCGTTCAAATCAATTATAGCAATTTCTTCACGCGTAATATTTCCTCCTTTGATTTTCTCCTTTCTCGATTGCCGTTACGGAAGGAAGCAGTCGGTTGGATATTCATTTGAATTCACAGGTGGAGAGAGAGAGGGAGTATAGGTGTCGCATAGAACTGTTAATTGCACGAAAGAAGGTTCGCGGACACTTGTGTGTGTGTGCGTGCGTTCGCGCATAGTATTACGGGAGTCATACGCGTACACGCGATTGCGTTCCAATATATTGTACGCGGTGGTCGTCGAAGTGACTCGATGGAATCTCCATGAAAGTCGGTACACTGGCGCAGAAGGTTTTGAACCGGTTCCCTTGTTAAGCCTTTGGCGCCGTCTATTCTTATTCCTTGCTCTTTCCGCGCTTAGTTTTTTCTCCGCCCGGCATTGACCGGCCCCCATTAAGGGAGGTATCTTCGACGTCTGAAAAACGTATAATCGCTTTACAATCGTTTAAATACATCCAGCTTCTCGGAATTTTACCGGAGTTTTAATGCGTACCTACCTGCCTACGGGATAAGATTCCATTTTAAAAGCGTCCACACACGCGCCATTGCTAATTATTCCAATCTACGCGGTCGAATAGTGGAGGCTACCATTACGATACAAACGCGGTATAAGCACGTAGATACCAATGAAATCCTCTCTTGGCTAACCTGTATATAGAATGATTCTCATCTTAATGTACCCGCTGGGTATTAACCCCTTAACACAGAGAAGACGCTTCGCAGGCATCGTGTATGAGAGATTCTACGTTCGAAGACATTAACCGTGTCTGCTCGTTCTGGGGTCCTCCTCTGCGAGTATCGACAGTGGCAGCGGCCAGGCAACGGCAAAAAGGCTCGTGTCTCAAGGTAGGCTTCATTTCTGACCGCGTCTTCCCTCCAGCACCAGAGATCACCTGCTTCTGGAATACGTGGCTCGCTTTTCTCGCGTTCGAACGATCCTGCACCACAGTTACTTCGGTTACGATACGCAACCGGTACCGGAGAACCCCTAGCAGAAGCTCAGAAAGCAGATCTTCAACTTCTTCTTCTTCTTCGTCTCCTTTGTAGCCATCGTCTTCGCGTTCTCCAGTTGTTCTTTGTCCAGACCGTGTCCGATCGATTCGATATCCTGTAACATTGCTGGATCGATGATCATCATACGCGACGTGTTATTTCTGTTACGCGGTGTGCGAGCAGACCCGACAAAAAGGAGCTCGCGTGACATTCGAGACCCACCGCATCTCTTCTCCAACTTCGCATTCCTTTTCTCTCCTTTTCGCGAAGTGTACATACACGAAACGATGCACACACGGGATTGTGCCCCCCCTGTGTAACGAGCCTGCGTACGATCTATTTAAAGGTACGCGCGTGCACGCGGTCCATCAGGTACGAATACGACGGATCGAAATTACAGGAGGCATTTGCTTTATTAAGGGGGACCCGACGTCGCTCGAACTCGATCGTAAATAGAAATGAGTAATTACGCGAGAGAGAATTATATGGGCCTCTTAAGTACTCCTCTCGTTCTCGTTTAGTGCCGTTTCTTTCTCAATTCCACACATCCTATCCTCCCCCTATCATCTTGGCCCCCCTCTTCTTTAGGCTACTTTATAATACTCTCGACTATTTTAAGCCTTCGTTTATATTTTATGCAAAAGCCATCCCTGGTAGGCTTGTCTTTTACGGCTCCCATTGCGAATTTATTATGACGACGAAGAAGAAGAAGAAGGAGGAGGAGGACTCTCTGCAGGGTGTATCGTGCTCGAATCTTCCCTCCATTGGAAGCCACGAATTTACTACAACGACGTGGTTCGTTAACAAACAACCAGCCTGGCTTATCTGTTTCTCCGCGAGTTGCGGGGAAAAAAAGCAAAACGAGAAGAGAGAGAGAGAGGTACACTCGAATCTAGTATGTTGGAGGTTAGCTCTGTGGTTGGTTGCGTGGGTCACGTTTCGCTGGTACACGTTGGCGCAGGTCAGTTTAGCAGGTCGGATTCTCAGCGACGCATTCCCATGGGAATGCAGTCCGAGTGCAGCGGAGTGCACTTGGGTCCGGCAATGCCTACAGGGGTCGTCTCTCCTCTGTTCGTGGCCATATATCGGTGGGTGAAACGAAAGCAGAAGCTCGATCCTGGATAAACAAGCGATCCTCTACACCACCTTCTTCGTCTTCTTCCTTCCCCCCTTTTATCCATCCTCCTCTCTCCGCGTGCTCTGTCCGCGCGAACGAGACGCTAGAGAACAACTTCTCACAAGCCGAGCGCCGAGAGACTTGGTCCTTTTTTGCCAGAACAAAAGCAAAAGAAAAGAGGGAGGCTCTCTCGAGGAGAGCTGCAGGCAACGTTGGCTGCTGGACGAAGAAGAAGAAGAAGAAGAAGAAGAAGCAGAAGGAGAAGAAGAAGAGGTAGAAGGAGGATAAGAAGAAGGAGGTGGTATGGAGGAGACGAAGCGAGAGAGGAGAGAGCGGATGTTACAGGGGGATTCTCGAGGTCTATTTCAGGCCCTGCCAGCAATCGCTATGTAAGGCCCCTGTTTCTTTCTATCTTTCTCTCTACTCCTGAAGGAACACTCTGCTCTTCTTCTCTGCTTTAGTCCCCTTCTCTCTTTTCCTCCTCGTGATTTTCTTTCTTCGTTCGTTCCTTCGTTCGTTCCACGAGCATCGAACGAACTCGGTTTTAGCCCGCGAGTAGCCTCGACGTTCGAGACGATCGGAGGAGCCATACTGCCCCGAAGGCTTCGACGGCGTCGGCTCTTCCATTTTGATACTTCTAGGACAGTGATCCTCATCTTCCCACGATACGTGTCTATCGATGCACTTTTAAAAATCCTACCTTTCTCGTGCTCCTTTTTCAATCCACGACTTTGTTCGTTTTTAGAACGTTAGTTACCTTAGACGGCAATTTTACTCGGGAGAATCGTCTCGCGAAAGTTAACTACAACTTGGGATAGTCTGGCTAGCTGGAATATGATCCTCCGATTATACCCAAGATATCCAGGTTTCTGTTCCTTTCCTAGAGAATCCAATTAAACTTGTACCAAAGTGGTCGAGTGACCTTGCACATTTTTCTTGCCGATTCACTCGTCGCGGCCATAATTCAGTTAGCACCGGGGACGGTCTATCGTTTTGTCTCCTCCCTTCAGCGAGCATTTAGAACAGTGATTCTCACGTGCTATTCTTTCCAGAATAATCTCTGATAAATCAAGCACAGAGTCGGTACCTTCAACGACACTTTGCAAATAAAACAAGCGAATTCGAAAAAACACGAAATCTCCTTCGTATAATCGAAAAGCCTCGTATAATAAATTTCACGAAGCAACTAATCATCGAGCTCGGTCGTCGTGTTTAATGGGGGGGGAAGGGTTGAGAACGTAGCGGCGTTATCGAGGATATCTCGAGTGCGCGGCTCATCGATTACGTACCCACGCCTTGTTATGCACACGCTGTCCCGCGTGTATATATTTAGACAGTGCCGTAGCCCCGGGATTTAATGCGATTATACGGTCCCGAGGACCGCCGTAGGAAACGGCGAAACTCGTCGCCGGGGACACGTAATCCCGGTGCGTTCTCTAAATCATCCTCGCGTCTCGGGACCGCCGCGTCCTTCTACCTTCTTCCTTTTTCTCCAACGTCCCTCTCTCTCTTTCTTTCATACTCGCTGGTGCCCGGGCTGCACAGTTGATTCTCTGACAAGAGTGAACGCACGTTGCATGTGATCACCGATAGAATGCAGAAATGGATGATAATAACAGCCGTGGCCGCGTACGATCATTAAATGCTGCCTCGTGCTGCCCACCGTTTTACTTGGGCCCCTGTTCTTGCCGCTGTTACGTGCCCCGGGCTCGACGGACTGAC